CGATTCAGGGAGAAAATGAAAATCAGTAAAATACAAACACAAAAGACAGTTTTGAGGAATTCAGAAGTTCATAACTCGGAGGAAGGCAAACGATTTTGAGTCATGACACTAAAAGTCTTTAACCATTGTTTACGATAATCACAGTCACAACAACCAGGTAGTCAACACCTATTGACATTACTTACTTACTTCCTTACTTACGCATGTTACTCCTCGTGAAGAAGCATAGGCCAACCATCAGCGCTTTCCATCCAACCCTGTCCTGACAATCTTTTACAGCTACTTCCAGTTGTTATCCATCCTTTTCATATCTGCTTCTATTCCTCGACGTAATGTGTTCTTCGGCCTTCCACTTTTCCGCTTACCTTCAGGATTCAAAGTTAGGATTTGAATCGTGATTCAGTTTGACCGTTTGCGTAATGTATGTCATATCCATTTCCATGGTCTTTTCCTAATTTCCTCTTCACCTGAAAGCTGGTTTGTTCTCTCCCACAGAAGGCTGTTGCTGATGGTATCCGACCAATGCATGTTGGATATCTTGCGTAGACAACCATTTGTTAATACTGGTACCTTCTTGATGGTGGTTGTTGTAGTTCTTCAAGTTTCAGCTCCATACAGTAGAACTGCCATGACGTTGATATTGAAGATTCTGACTTTGATATTGGTTGACAGACAGTTGTTTTTGAGTTTCATATGTTCTCCATTTGAAGAAATGCGGCCCATGATTTGCCAATCCTCGCCTTTACGTCTGCATCTGAACCTCCTTGTTCATCGATGATGCTTCCCAGGTATGTGAAGGATTCCACAACTTCCAGAGTTTCGCCATCAACAGTGATTGGATTGCTGTTCTCCGTGTTGTGTTTGAGGACTTTGGTTTCCTCTTGTGTATGTTGAGGCCTACTGATGCAAAGACTGCTGCCAAACTGGCTGTCATTATCTGCATTCGTTCGTGTGCATGCGATAGGGGGGCTGGATCATCTGCGAAGTCCAAGTCATGCAATTGGTTCTGAGCTGTCCATTGTATACTGTTTTTTCCCTCATATGTCGGGGTCTGCATAATCCAGTTGACCAACAGAAGAAGGAGGAAGGGAGAGAGTAAACCGCTTCGTCTGATTTCGGTCTTTATTTGGAATGCATCTGTCAGCTGTCCTCCATGCACGACCTTGCATTGTAGTCCACCGTATCAGTTCCGGATAATCTCCTCAGGAACTACATATTGTCGAAGAGGTCTCCATAACGTTCTTCTGTCTACACTGTCAAATGCCTTTTTGTAATCAATGAAGTTGATGTACAGTGACGAGTTCCACTCAACTGATTGTTCGACGATGATCCGTAGTGTTGCAATTTGGTCTGTGCACGACCGATCCTTATGGAATCCAGCTTGTTGATCTCGAACTTAGGCGTCTACTGCATCCTTCATCCGGTTCAGTAACACTCTGTTGAAGACTTTCTCTGGTATTGACAGTAGTGTTATGCCTCTGTAGTTTTCACATTTGCTCAGATCTCCTTTCTTTGGAATCTTGACGAGGTGTCCTTCTCTCCAGTCCACAAGCACTTGTTCTTCCTCCCAAATCTTTTTGAATAGAAGGTGAAGCATGTTTGTGGTTACTTCGATGTCTGACTTCAGTGCTTCAGCTGGTATATTGTCGAGTCGTACTGATTACCCACTCTTGACTTGTTCGATGGCCTTTCTGATTTGTTCGGTCGTTGGTGGATTGACATCTAAGGGAGGAAGATCTGTGTGTGCTGCTTCGATGTCCGGTGGATTCATTGGAGCCGGCCTATTCAGGAGTTCCTCGAAGTATTCTACTCATCTGTTTCGCAGTTGTTGAATTTCAGTGATTAGCTTGACTTCCTTGTCTTTGACCGGTCTCTCTGGCTTACTATATTTCCCTGCTAGTTTCTTCGTTATATCGTAAAGCTGCTTCATATTTCCTTCTAGTGCAGCTTTTTCCACCGTCGTTGCTAGTTCTTCCAATGCTCTTCTTCACTTGCTTGTTTGCTTCTATGTATTCAGCTTGTGTTTGGACTTTCTCTGCTCGTAATTGGGTGTTGTTAATTGTTGTCTTCTCGTTCTTTCTTTCTTTGATCCTGTCCAGTGCTTCTATAGAGATCCATTCCGTTTGATGATGCTACTTGAGGCCCAGAACCTCTTGACACGTTGAAGTTAATGCTTCCACAATACCCTTCCAGTTGTCCTCCATAGTAGTTTCTTCTTCCTTCAGTAGATCCTGTAAGGCTTGGAACCTGTTGTTGAGAGCTATCTTGAATTCATTGAGTCTGTCAGTATCTCGAAGGAAGGCTGTATTGAACCTTTGTAGTGCAGTTTGTCCAGTTGTCCAGTTCTTCTTTAGCTTCAGTTTTGAATTGACCACAACTAGGTGGTGTGGTGATCTGAAGCTATGTCAGCTGCTCTCCTGGTTCTCACATCTTCCATTGTCCTTCGGAAATATTTATAGATGCAAATATGATCTATCTGGTTCTCTGTGGTGTGGTCCGGTCAGATCCATGTAGCTTTGTGTATACGTTTGTGCATATGACCAATTTCCTAAATGCACACAGATTCGCAAATCTTTCCCCATCAAGCTGCATCACGATACATGACCTAACTTTAAATCCTCAAGGAAAATACAAAGCTTAAGACGAAAGAACTCAGTTCACCATTATTCAAGACAGATATCAAAATCATCCGAACCACTTCTTCAAGTAGGTCAGAGATATTTCCTTATCCTCGAGAGTAAAATGCGTGATTAGGTAGGAATATAAATAAACAAATGCCACTGCTTGTTCGCAATCCTTTTTTTTATAACAGAAGGCAGAGAGAACTATTACATGTTGACTTAAGTGAATTCGAGAAACAAAATGGCACCAAACTGTAGCTGATCTTTTAAACTGTCACTAACAACCTTTAAATAGACGGTTACATATTCGCATTCTTGAGTACGCCACTAGCTTCAGTGTAACAAGCTAAAAACCTTGTCAAATTTGCGGTCAAACCGAATAATGATGTTTCCAGACAGTTAATGAGTACTATATTGAATGCAATTCGAATGACAGATTACTTAAAGTGATATACTGCAGTGGATTAATCAAACATCGACCTAATGATAAGTGCGCTCATCTGGCCAAGAAATGGTTTACAATATCTAGGAGACAAACATAACTGGTGGCCCGATTTTCCAAGGGATATATACAAAAAAATAAGTAGCTTCACAGACATACCAACACGGTGAGTTAATAAATTTCCTTTATCAGTCTCAATTTTTCCACTTAACAATCGGCTGGGTTCGTATACAGAAGGATTGCATATCAGTATGGATGCCGTATATCATATTGTTAGACAATGCCTTCTACATTCATCCCAACGAAACCAAGTGCAAACAACTTAGTCAGTCGTAAAACATACCAGTTATCATTCATAAGCATTTATTCAAAGCATAATTCTGAATCCTTACTTAACATCATAAAATTTCAAATTATGTATGCAGACCAATTACGTTCGATCAGTTGATTATGGAAATTCAACTACAAAGTACACATTTCCATTCACACAATTGGATAAGTACAGGAAAATCATGCCGGTGTTCAATTTGTCGTGCATGCACAACTGTAGACATTCGATGAACTATATCAGATAAACCTTAAACTGCCATAATTCATGCTTTGGTATTTTAAAATCCAGAACGGTAATTTAAGGCTATTTTAGGGATTTCTTACCTCAGGGATATGTGTAACATATGTATCGGGAATCGGAAGTAAGATTCTTACGGGCAGCAGAAAGTTAGAAGAGAAATAAAACAAAGAACAGTGGAGGCAAAAAAAGGAATGGAATAACAATGGAGTTTGTAAGGGACAATTCATGGACGATGTGCAAGTGGTGAGAACTTCGTGACATTCTGTTCTGCATACAATATTCATCTAATGACAAGAATGGTAAGCGTAACACGTTATAATTCAAATATTTCAAGATCGGTATATAAAAGCCATCTGAATCTGATCTCAATTCAAGAAGCATAAGGTACATCATAAAATATGTTAACAAACAACTATATATATGCATCTGATCAGACTTATACAACTATTCTGACTCATCAAACGTATGATGGTACCATTTTCTAGAGTTTGTTGTCAACGGGCCCCAGTCAAATCACCCGGTAGACAGGTCACTAAGTGGCCGACAGTTTGCATATCCTTGCGAAGGACAACAAAGGCGATTAATTGAATGCTATAAATAAGTTTGTACGGCAGTGATTCTGTCCTGCACTTCTGTAACCTGTTAATACTAACACATAATCTTGCCTATTGAGAGCACTTATTCTAACCAATCACTTGTAAAGCTGATTCACCTGCTTATCAGGATCCACGTTAAGTATTAGCCGCGAGAAGTAGTTTTGACGTAAGCTAGGAGGTCACACCATACTTGCCCAATTAGAATAGCCCACGAGTCATCGATACAGATTCCCTATATCGGTGTTTTACAGTTTTATTACACGGTCTTAATAATAACATCATGGAATGATTTCATAAACCAGAACATGAAAAGTATGCAAAGTAATTCCTGTTGAGTCGTCTTTCAGAAAACTTCAACGGAGCTTCCAGAGGCCCAAAAAGGAGCCGAAGAGTCCTAGCCAATCAGAGCACGATAGAGCATTCTAGAATTCCAACGTGGCGCGCTACTATTGGTCAGTAGCATAATATGTCGCTAACAGATTGGCCGAAATATGATGTTGATTTAACGAACGAATCTTGGAGTAAAGTATTTCTTCCATAATTTGCGTCTTCTCTCTGGTGTTCAAGTCGCTGTGTAGTTCTAGCTTGCGGGTTACCAGAATAGCTTAGGAAAACGAATATAGCGTTCAATCGACAAGACATATCAATTTCCACTTAAAATATTATACACATTCTGCATACAAATAAACAGAACAAAAGTCAATTTAATGATAACAAAGTGATTAGTTCAAATCTGGAGAGGGAAACCCCTACCGAACACAAGTGAATGATTATCGAAATAATAAAAAATAGAAGAAAATAATGAATGAACACAACTGAATCCAATTTAATTCAAAGAAGAATACTGTAGGAACATCTTGATGACGATGAATGATAATTGATAAATGTAAATGTGGTTGATCATCTATAGTTAGAAAATTATCTACGCGATGTGCCGCCAAAACCTAAAAGAGCAGAAAAAATACACAAAATTGAATAGGTACACAAATGAATCAATAAACTACTCCACACACGTATATATATAAACAATAAAAACAGCATTAGTATATTACCTGATGATATATGAGTTTCCGGTGAAGGAGTTCGTGAACGACGATCATGTGTAAATTGTGTATTTGAAGAACTATAATGTGAATCTGAAAAACTATTTCCCACTTCGAATAAATGATTCTTCTTCAGTATAAATTGGAGTAGTTCGTGAACAACCACTGAAACTACTACCAGGATTGGTATTTGATCTAGATCCCATAAAATAACCTCCAAGAAATCCAGCACCTGCAGCCAACCCATTAGATAACCATGAACTGGACTGATCGTTTGATTTATTCCAATTCCATCGAGAACGTGATTGTGATGAACCCATAACATTCGATGTCCAACCGTATTCTGGAGGGGCTGATGGAGCTTGACGTCGTCTTGTAGAATTATCTTCATGATCTGACGGAAGAAGAAAATTAATCCACGATACAATGAAAAAGTGTGTTCAGTATGTTTATATACTAAAACTTTCAACAACCACACTTGATAGAAAATATATGTCAGTCATAGACAAGACATGATAGGACGGGCAAATGCCTATGACTTCCAGCTCTCATACTTTAAGTCACCTCATCCAGAAACATTAAGGTGGTAAGATGAGCAATAAGAAGGAAGATTAGAAAAATACCCACTGTCATGAAAAGCGAGACAAGAAAAACACCTTTATAATGAACAAAGTCTTTCATGAAATCACATAATTCTATACTCATACATCAATGACGAGTCTCACAATACATTTTCCGAAGTTCTCAAGTGAAAATCGTAACTTGTATGAACGACTGAATAACGAGCAGAAAAGTAACCAACCGAAAATACTGGGATAATATTACAGTGCAAATTTACAGAATTTAAGGTCCGAGGGTGAAGACATACTGCTGACTGCAGAGGGATGTGACAGCAGTAAGGTGGTCCTCTCAGACAACCAGCATCTGCAGCTATTCGGATTTCACAAACAGTGAATCTAACACCCCAGAAACTTCCTATAGAAGGAGCCGTGCGCGGCCATCTTCATGCAGCTGTCTCTTGGGCTCTGTGGTCACTCCATCGGCTGCTAAGACCATCACTAATTCAACCCTTTTTCGGGTCACTCAAGAACTTCATCCGTCCACGCTGTGGGGAGATATGGAATGACAAAGGCCTTCATGCCTAACACCACTCGAGACCATCCTGTCCACGACCAAATCCTTCCCTCATCTCTTAGTAATTATCCCATTCGCACGACTGACGCTTCTCTCATATCTTTATCACCACCTGTCACCGATGTTAATGATTGGGGTTCACGAAATGCTACAACTAGTCTCCTGAAACCAAGATATAAACTACATGTTGGAGATTTTGAAGTTTGGACCCTGTTGAATGGGAAAACATGCTTCTTAAGCCAGGATCGTAGAACCTTGTGCCATCTATGTATGCTGTGTTGGAGAAACGTTCATACAGGATCGAAGAGCGCTGATTCATTTGGCCTCACCATGTCAATATAAGAACCGGCACAATTTACCTTCCGAGTATCTGGAGGCCTAACTGCTGCTTAGTGTGAACTTGATGGTGTAGGTATAGCATTTACCGATAAAAACAGAACAGGTTTTGCTAGACTGGATTCCAGTAGATAGTGGAATATGTGCTATAGGACAGTAAACTCTCGAAAAGATAGGGATACACGTTCGTACCTGTTCGATTTGGCTTGGTGTGGTATCCAAAAATCTATGGAGACAACAGTAATATCTACTACTAACTTAAACCAAAAGGTTAAGAAATATCAGTGGATTTAGCGGAAATCACAGAACTGACAGATCATAGGAAACTCACACTGTCTGGCTCTGAACACGATGAGGAGCAGAGATGGCTTCAACGTAGGTTACTCGAGAGCCTACGTAGTGATCGCGAGCAGTAATGAGTAGCGAAAGCAGAGAAGATGGAAAAGGCAGCAGAGATAGATAACTGTATACAACTACTCAACCTTATCAAGAAAACGGATTCAAATACGGCTGTCAGTGAGGCTGTGAATATATAGACAGAATAAAAATCCTCCGGCAGCTCCTAGAAAAGACATACTCCATGACGTCAGACTATATTTGTATTCCTTGGTCTGGAGGTGGCGTTCAGCTCCCTTGATCTTGAGTCAACTAGCGTCACTCGTGGTATAAGCGACAAAAGACGAATTTACTGCACAGCAGTTCGTTCCGTTTACTTCATTGGTGCAGAAAATGGTAAATAAGAACAGATGATATTCATAACTTACTGGTACTCTACTCTACCATATGTGGCTTCAAGCCTTGTTGGTGCAACTTAGAACCACAGAGTAAGCAATATCTGAGTGACGAATTGTGAACAATATAAGGATGGCAAATTGATCGATGAGTTAGTAAATCTTCATCAACTGAGGTGGTTGGAACATGTACTACGTATGCCCAACCACTGCTTATCTCGATGGGGCTATGTTATTTGTTGTAGAGATCGGCTGGAAGAAAGCTAGAGGAGCCAAAACCAAAACATGTTATCGGTCTATGAAGTCATCGACAATCAGACTTATCCATGTCAACAGATGTAGACCACCTGGTTATGATCAGTGTGATTATCGTAAGCCATGGTTAAAGACTTTGAATGGCACGGCTCAAAATCGTTTGCAATGGTGCATGTGCATCCACACTTTGTCGTCCTCCGAATTCTTCAAAACTGTTTTTTGTGTTTTTATTTTACTAATTTATATTTTCTCCCTGAATCGTATATTCGATGCTTAATGTTTCTTATTACCACTAACACTGTTACTATCTCTAATTTTCTTTCTTTTGGTCCGATAACTTTATCATTCTGCGCTAATGGGTTATGCCAACTTGAACTGTCACCACCTGCCTACACGGGTCAGTTCAGTAATCACTGGACTTCAAGTTATATCTTAGTTTGGTCACTATTCATTTCTTTCTAACAGTCCTCAACGAACCATTATAGCGCGTCGATGTAGTTGGTGTATGGGCACATGTTATACAGATCCTAACCATTTCAGTTGATAAATGTTCACTAACTCATCAACGGATTTACTATCCTTACCCAGTATTCTGTTTAACCTCAGAGTTTTTAATTTTGTGATCCCAAAATATACAAGCAATGCTTCAAAGATATCTATGATGAAACAATAGTAAGCTATGAATATCCTCTATTTTAAATACCACATTTAGCAACCGTAAAGTAGTGATCTAATACACAGTAAAATCGTCATTTAGTTGTTAGACCAAAATCTCACCTACCACGCCAGTCGCCTAAGCTGACAAACACCAACAAAAAACTCTCTAAATTTGTGCTAAGATTTTATTGGGCACTATCATAACGGATGACAACTTTCAACGCTAATGGGTTGATGCCAAAGACTTATAAAACTGAGCAAAATAACTAATAAGTATTTTGTAATTTATTAATATTACCAGCTCTATATGTTTATCTGAGGAAAATAACAATAAAGTTGACGAAATGAACTAACCAACAAACTAACTAATTTAATTCATAATGGAACTTACCATCGAAAATCGCCTCATCATATGGCGGAGGTGGTGGTCGTTGTTGTGATTGTGAAAAGTCAAATCCAGTTGGTGGAATATACTCGCATGGAAATGTAGAAGGTCTAATGATATCATGTACAGTGAAAACAGAAAAGAAGAAACAGTATGACTAGAATAAATCTTTATTGACAATATAACTCAATGTATCCGAACTTTCATTGTCATTCATATTATATAATGTAATCATTTATTTATTTATTTGAACACATAAACACTGGTACAATGAGGCACCAAATACGCATGTGCTACACAATAACAATGACTAGTTATCATCGACCTGTGTGCCCAAACAGAGCCAGGTGGTTTTCCTAGGGAGCCACACTCCAAGTCTTTCACCTAATCCATAAGGCAATGGAGCAGTTTTAACAGATGCAGTCCCATGGAAGCCGGTGACTAACAATGGGTTCATACTCCATTTTTACACTCAGAATACTGGAGCCCATTCAGTCAGTCAGTCAGTAACAACGTAGAACTTCGTACGTACGTACATCAGTTCGAGTTGCCACACCACATTAGCACAGAGATGCAGTGGTCGATTCAAATCCCGTAGTGGTAGAGGTAATAAGAGTATAAGCAGTAATCGGGAAGATTAGGGTTTGGAGATGTTATTTAAAGAGTATAATACAGTGAAATAAATTTGGAAAGAGGAAAAAAGGGACATGAAGAATTCAGAAGATTAGAATTTGGGAGAACACAGAGAGTGGATGCACCTGCGCCATTGCAAACGATTTTGAGCCATGTCATTCAGGGTCTCCAACCATCGGTTGCTATCATCTCGCGGTCCCCAACCAGGTAGTCTACACCTACCAACATGACTCAGTTCACTTGTCAGTGACTTCATGGATTTGTGCCATGTTTTGGTTTGGCCGCCCCTAGCTTTCTTCCAACCTACTCCTATACCACTGAACATCGCACGTCGAGGCAGTCGGTCGTTGGGCATACGTAACACGTGTCCCAGCCATCTCAACTGATGAAGTTTCACTACTTCATCAATTGATTTGCCATCCTTACCTAGTACCCGTTTCCTAACAACTGTGTTACTTACTCGATGGTCCCATGATATACGAGCAATGTTTCGAAGACACCTATGATCGAATACTAGTAACCTACGAATATCCTCTACTCTTACCGGCCATGTTTCACTGCCATAAAGTAGGACGGAACGAACTGCTGCGCAGTAAACACGTCCTTTGATTGATAGACGGATATCTCGCCTACGCCATAAATGACGCAAGTTGGCAAAAGCTAGTCGAGCCTTCTGTATCCGTGCTGAGATTTCGTCACACACCAAACCACAAGGGCTGATGAGACTTCCAAGATAAGTGAAGCGGTCGACACACTCAACTACTTCACTCCCTATCACTAGTTCGGGTGTCGATGTAACCCAATCCTGAAGCAACATTTTGCATTTCGAGGGAGAGAATCGCATCCCGAACATGCTTGCATTGTTGCTTAGAGTGGTCAGAAGACTCTGCATTTTGTCAGCGTCTTCACCAAATAAAACTATGTCATCTGCATATTCTAAGTCAACAAGTGAACCTCCCGGTAGAAGTTCAACCCCTGGAAATTTAGACGAGGAAAGTGTTATCTCTACAAGTACGTCGACCACAAAGTTGAACAAGAATGGGGAGAGTGGACAGCCCTGACGAACACCACTTGAGGTAATCAGTTCTGATGACAGTTCGCCATAAGCTCTCACTCTACCAGTTGTGTTAGAGTAGAGAGCCTTTATAAGGTTAATGTACTTCTTTGGTACTCCTTTCAGTGACAAACACTGCCACAGAACCTCACGATCAACAGAGTCGAATGCCGCCTTAAGATCGAGAAATACTACCATTGTGGGGCGTCTGAACGTGTGTCTGTGTTCTAGAACCTGACGTAGTGTGAATATCTGATCTATACAACCACGTCCAGGTCGAAAACCAGCCTGGTTTTCTCTAATCTGCTCTTCACGAGCTTTGATTAGGCGTCGAAGTATTATTGAAGCTAATATTTTAGACACTATATTAGTCAAACTGATTCCTCTGTGATTGTCACAAGAGGACTTTTGTCCTTTCTTATAGACTGGCACAATCAGTGATTGAGACCAGTCAGATGGGATTACGTCCAGTTCCCAAATTCTACCTAAGACCTCGGTTAATCTCATTGCTAATACTGGACCACCATCCTTAAAAATCTCAGGAGTAAACCTGTCAGGGCCTGCTGCTCTCCCTCGTTTCAGATTTCCTATGGCTTTTTCAACTTCGTAAAGGGACGGAGGACCTACATTAACTTGCCATTCAGGTTGACTGGAGATCGTGGGAATCTGAAGTGTGGCTGAAGGCCAGTTGAACTGATCCCTAAAGTGTTCTGCCCATCGATCCAATCTCCTGGATTGAGAATGAATAATATGTCCATCTTTCTCTGAGAGTGTTTCGCTAACAGTCGGGTTCCTAATTCCGGTTTCCTTAACGAGTCTGAACAATTGTCTGCTATTACCTATTGCCGCTGCCTTTTCCATCTCTCTTGCTTTCGCTACCCACCACTGTTCGCGATCATTGCGTAGACTTCTTGTCAGCTTGCGCTTAAGCTGACTCCGCTCTTCATTATGTTCAGAGCCAGGTGGAATGAGTTTCCGAGCATCTATCAGTGAGATAGATGCTGCTGAGATCCAGTGTTGCTCCCTAACCTTCTGGTTTACCTTACTAGCAGATATCACTGCTGTTTCCACAGCTTTTCGGATATCATTCCATGCTGCATCGGGGTGGGCATCACATACATGGCTGCCTAACTGTTTTCCTAGTTGTTCCTGAAATATACTCTTAGCTTGACTATCATTAAGTAGACCCTAAGAGGTTTCCTTGCAGCGTCTTTCCTACGTCCAGTAAGACGCAAGCAAATACGCGCTCGCACTAGAGCATGATCTGAATCTAGGCATGTGCTCCAGAATGAGCGACAGTCTTCTATCGAGCCCCTCCATCGGTGGCTGATAGCGATGTGATCTATTTGGGTCCAACGTTGGGACGAATTAGGGGGTCGCCATGTTAAAAGATGTTTTTCCTTATGCTTAAAGTTAGTATTTGCAAGGAACAGGCGGTTATCTGAGCATAGCTGCAACAGACGGTCGCCATTATCTGTTCTTTGAGCCACGACACCATAAGATCCACCTAGGTGTCTTTCCCTATCGCTTAGTTTACCTACTTGAGCATTAAAGTCACCGGCCACTATTACTACATCCGAGCGCTAGCTTTTCGGAGAAGGTCCGAAAGCTTTCTGTAAAACTCATCTTTTACATCATCTGAGCTGCAGTCAGTGGGAGAATAGGCAGAGACGACGAAGAGGCAACGACGAGTGTCCCTATCTTTCCGGATTCTTACTGTTCCGTTCAGTCGGACAGCGCACAAACGACTGTCTACTGGGATCCACTCTAAGAGAGCTAGTTCTGCCCTAGGACTCAATGCTATACCTACGCCGGCGAGGCCACGGGAAGCAGAATCAGGGCTTCCAGATACACGAAGCGTAAATCGAGTCGGTTCTTTATTTTGGCATGGTGAGGTCAAATGAATGACGCTACTTGGATCCTGTATGCGCGTTTCGGAGACGCAGCACACATCGATGGCGCGAGATTCTAAAGTTTTAGCTAAGGAAGCCTGCTGTCCTATTTGGCAAAGTGTTCGTACGTTAAAAGCTCCTACGTGTAGTTTAGAGCGTGGTTTCAGGAGACCAGGAATGGCGTTCCACGTACTCGAATCGTTTGCCCTAGCGGTGCGAGGTGATAAAGAGACGTGAGGAGGGTTAGTCATGGAGATAAGAGAGGTATTAGGAGGTGTAGGAAGGATTTGAATGTGACCACCTTGGTCTCTTGTGCTGTTACGGGTATGAGGGCTGATGTCACTTCCCGGCTGCCCACACCGTGGAAGGGTATTTCTTGAGGAACCTGAAAAGGAAATTGGATTAGTGTTGGTCTTGACGACCTGGGAGCGTGACCGCAGAGCCCAAGGGACAACTGCTTGAGGCCGGTCGCGCACGGCCTTTTTGTGGAAGGTTTTTGACGTGTTAGCTCCGTTCTTCAAAGGGCCTTACCGCCGGAGACGGAAATCCGTGAGGTAAGGTGAGGTGTGACATTTTTAGGGTCGACCTTTTCTAACCCCACCCCTCCTTGTGGGAAGGCAGCATCGCTGTCATGCTGGTTGTCCGAGGGAAACACCTTACTGCTGTCACACCCTCTACAGTCAGCAGTACGACTTCGCCCTCAGACCTTGAGTTGCTGCTTTTAGTCTTACCGTTCACCAATCGACCTGCCTGGCATGGTAGAACCTGCAGGAACATATGTTCCAGCCAATATAGCTCGGTTGGGTCATCACGATAGGCAAGCCCGACCACCGCGTCAAGGTAGCAGCTTTATTATGGAGCCCATATGAATCATTGGTTGGGATTCAGGTTTTATCAACTCCCCTAGGTGGACCCTCCATGTCCATCAACCAGTTAAGGAGTTGGACATTCATTTTATGTCGAGTGGAGCAGTGTCTACGACTACTAACCAATAAGAATAGCTGGGTCGAAATAATAAAAATTATAATAAAAAGGTACATATTTATGAATTATTTGAACATACATTCTTAATTTGGTTAGACAATAAAATAATCCTATTCATCCATGGTTATTTTCACCGAAGTAGCTGGTTTGGACAAGCATATAGGAAGTGTAGTATACTCAGATAATTGTATAACAAAACAGTAGTATTATTTTCGTTACTGAGATAAGAATCATTTTGGATAGCACACAAACACAAGAATACTCTTTGCCATACGTCAGCAAACATTACATAGAGGGTTCAAGCACAAGTAGAAATAGATTTATCAATATGCCTAAGGAATAAATCAGTCAAGGGTAGGACCTGGAACATATACGAACCTGTATCAGTTCAAGTTGTCACACAATATCAGCACACCAAGATGAATACTAAAATGGTAGAAGTAGGAGTAGTATTTGTAGTGAAATTCTAGGTATTGACGGTATGATTCAAGGAGTTGATTCACGGAATATAATATATCTGGTAACTGTAAAACTCAGGAGTGGAGTTATTCAGATCGATTCTGAGTCAAGTCGCTCGACGTTTTAAACCAGTTGAACAATATGACCTCGTTGACTCCAACCAGGAATTCTGTACCCACTAACACTATTTAATTCAACATTTGATGAATTCATGAACTGATATCGTGTCTTCATTTCAACAGACGATGAAGTTTCGCCAGACCATGTTCAATTTATCAAGTCAAATCTATATAGTTTAATAACTATAATCACAATACAATATTTTACAACAATAAACACAGAAATTGGGTTATTAAACCATCAATATTAAAAAGAATCAACAATTCATTACCTAATACAAAAATACCATATTATAGCAGCTAATAAAATCAATCCAATAATTATGAAGTAGCCAGAGTTATTTTGTGCATGTGTATACACCTTTTCAAATGTTCTAAAATAGATAAACAAAGAAAACCTTAAATGTATAATGAGAGGAAATAAGTGTAAGCATAAGTATTATGACTGCCTTGGGTGTGTGAAAGTGTGTTTATGTATTCTCTCCATTCCCAATTTATTTTTGTATACTAAACTATACTACTTACTAGCATTCAGTAATCAGTTTCAATTCTGAAAACTTGAAGGGTCATGTCTGCCCGTTATCACTTAGTATTGCTAAATAATTGCAGAAATTGATAACACTTAATCTAGTTATTTATTTAAGTGTTTGAAAAAGACAACGGTTTACTGTATATATAGTAAACTACTTCACGAGCGATCAATTTTCCGAATATATATAGTGAACAATCAGTCAATTACAACGTAGGACCAGGCATATTTATGCATCGGTTCAAGGTATCACACTTCATTAGCACAACAAGATGAACTCCAAATTCATAGAAGTAGATACTTCAATCGTAGTAATGTATAAAAGAAAGATTGCATACAAGGACATAGTACAGGAAGAAAGAATTAGTACGTAGGAAGAATGGAATGAAGTAATTTTAATATCACGGATTAAGGGAAGACAAAGAGTGTATACACCGACACTATTGTGATCGATTCTGAGCTATGTCACCCAGAATCTCGAACTATTGCTTATGATAGTCACGCGGACCCCAACCAACTAGTCTGCATCTATCAACATGGCTCAGACTAGAAATTAGTGACTTCAAACTAACATATTAGGTCACAATGCATAATAGAACAAAGATTAAAAAAACAAACAATTAAAGATGAGTAGCAACAACACCTACTCAGCTGTAAAACAATAATTGGAAAAAGACACTAGTGTAACGCATGAAAATGATAACTGTTCAGACTGATTTAGTAATGGAATGTCCAATAAATACGCGAACCGTGGTCATAAAGGCGTTGTTGCATAATATGTAAGGCTCATTATTCTTATACCTAACAAAATACTCTCCATCTCTGATAATAAACTTGCGGCATATTCGTTTCCATTTCTCTAAGCATAATAAAATGTCTTCAGAAGGCACAATTTTTGATAGCCTCATCTTTTCAAATTTCGCTAGAATAATGTGTACAAATGATTTTGCAAATTCAGTTCAATAGCCATCATTTGAACATTGAAATCAGTGATAGGAAAGAAAAAGAAACTTCATATGTTTAGTGATTTCATTAGCACACTAAATTGATCAACACCTTGGCTTTGTGCTGACCTTTGTGCTTGCCCTATTTGAGAAGAACCGTTTTATTTTTAAGTATGTTCATGACATAAACAGTCCTTAATATTTCATAACCTCTGAGTTTTGAACATGTCTCACCAAAACAGTTTGTACCGTGGCCCATGTGGATTTATTTAATAGATCATTTAACGTGTACATGAACAGAGCATATTCAATTATTCAAAATAAAAGACGTTAACGTAGCGAACTTAAGTCATGATGAACTAAAAGTAAGTGTTTTACCAATACCTTTAAACCAATGTAGCATGGTTGAAACAATGGTTATAGCACTCTCTTTTAGACTGCTAAGATCACGGGTTTGCACCCTGTTTCACTTAATTTGATCAGAAGAAACAGTTATAATTAAAGTAAAACCTACGATGAACGCTTACACATGTTACATTAGAACAGTAAAATATGAAATTTACAAGATGAGAAGGTTAGGAATGGTAGTGTCAAACGGTCTTAAAAAGGCATTGTAAATAAAAGTCAAGTAGACATCAGTTTCTAATAAAAGGACTGAATTATTCCGAGTTGAATCAATGGTGATATCTAGTAAATACTTATTCATAGTACTGGCTACTGATTTTATTGATAAACAGTACAAAAAAGCAAACACACCGTTAGTGGAAAATAGATATACCATAATTTACCTTTACAACATAAAATAATGATACGTTTGTGTTATAAATTTTGGCCTGTGTGCCCTGTTAATGTATAACGTAATGATATCGCCATTTAAAGGACAGTGAATTATCGATCGGACCAGTGACGCATAAAACACTTGCGAGCAACCTAGAGTTCTTATCGTTCCTGCTCTCTGCCTAGCCCAGCCAGTTAAGTCCAGAGCACTAATTTCAGCCTCTGCGATATGAATCATATGTTTCAAATATACTGTGTTTATATACCAACACGACAGACCACATCGTACCATAAAGTAAAAACCATTTGTACAAGATTTAACCAAAATGTGGCTGTGAATAAGGGAGATAGTAATTGATAAACAGGGCATAATTGAAGAATGGTAAGTCGTAAATAACAGTTCATAAGTCAAAATAAAGCTTATAATAAGAGGAATATGAATATGAATAGTTTAGTTATTGAACGATTATACGATAAAATTATACGTATGGTATTGGCCCATAAATGGATCCCAGAAGTTACCATTCTTTATTCGTATTGGGATATAACAGTTTGTGAAGACAATAAATAAGGATTCAAATTTCAGATATTTCATGACTTAGGATAAGCCACTTTTTCAGAGTAAATAAATAACCAGATTAAATGAAGACATAATTTTAAATGGTGTAGAGCAACAAGACAGAATACTTGATTTAATCAAAATATATTTGATTACGTCTATGCTATATCATTTTTAGATCAGGTTATTCTGTGACATAACCGTATATACTATGACATGTGTTAATGGGTGTATAAAACGTGAAATTGGTAATATGAAGAACATACAATTCCTATATGAACATTAGAAACAAGTTTCAGCCAATGGATCTCTTTCTAACGAATTACTGCTTTGCACTATTTAAAATTATGCTCCTATCCAATTTACATATGTATTTGTTTACTCTGAAGAAGAGGCATACATTGCATTACGAAACGTCACAAATTTTAATTTCTAATTATTGTAATATCGCAAATACGTCAGTATTTTATCACTAATATCCCAACAATGTTCGATTTGTTTGAAATTATCAATTCTAAACTTATTAATGATACATACCTGTGATTTATTTTCTCCCGAGTAGAACCTCGTACATTTAATTCGTATTCCAGCTTTTAAAAAAATTAGAAAGACTTAAATTCGGGTATATATAGTTTATCTATATTTGCAAAGGATTTAAATACGAAATAGATGGTTTCTGATGAGGCCATTTTGTTCTCCATAACTTATAACAAAGATGTAGTTTATCTGTTCAAGGCATCGCAAATACGGAGCATGATGGTTAATTTATTTTTTTATTCAAATACAAAAACATAGGTAAAAGGAGGCATCAAATAGATATGCGCCACATAAATTAGTCGATTTGTGTGAGAGCTGAGATACTGCCCGCGTGCCCAAACCGAACCACATGGTTTTCTTAGGGGCCAAACCCTGAGCCTTTCACCTAAAGGTCTAATCCACAAGGCAGTTGAACAGCGTAAGGAATTTAGTCCCATTGTAGCCGATGACTAATAATTGGTCTGTATGTCATTCGTTCCCTCGGGAACCTGGAACTCATGTGTGCCACTGGTTTGAAATCAGTGTTTCCAACTCCCTAGGTGGATCCTCAATATCCATCAACCCAGTTAAAGCGCCAAACATTCGCTTATCGTCCTCTCAATTTAGTAAACAACACCCGTGGTGCGCGAAGGCAGTGAGTAGGACTTCTTTGGCAGTGGTTGTATGCACGTGGCCACTTGAGAGCATTTGAAGATAAAGCTGACTCTCCTTAATTTCGCCCGTACCAGGGCTTTCGGGGATTAAACTATGATGGTTAATCGAACATATGACTGATTCTTACCATAAATTTACACATAAACACTGTCTTCCTGATAGCCATGTGGATGCATTCAAATAATTATCTCATTTCGAATTAATACAATAAACTAATGTGGTCAAAAGTACAAAAGTAGAACTAGTCCATTTAGTGAATTACTCAATGTAATTCTAAAATATAATTTATGAAGGTAAAAGCGTAAATAACACCATTTATATAATACCAAGTAGATTTAGATTAAGTAGCTAAGATTCTGAGAAGCGAAGTGATTCTTACCATTTGAAGACAAATCTCCAAAAGACTTAACAGACTAAATAAACCTTAACTCTCTTTAATCTAAACTAACCCCAACTGATGATTTACCATGCATGTTCATATGGTAGTCGATTATTTAGATGAGTTCCCCAACTTACTTGAATGCTCTGAAGATAAGCAAATATCAAACAGTCTAACCCATTCCCCTGACATATCATTGCCAAATATACACGAAACATTACAGCTTAACTTAGGTAATCCATAAACTTTTCAGATTGAGCAAGTTAAGTCATCTAAACCACTAACTGATAAGAAATGTAATTCGGTTGAGTTTTCATAGACTAATCCTACTAATAATCGGAGCGTCGTATCAATACAAGAAAGTCAGACATTAAACATGTACCAAACTCTACAAATTGTGTCGTATTTTCAAAAATAATTTTAAAAATATATCATACAAAACCAAGGAAATAAAGTGAATACACTTCTTATATATGATTCAAAAACTTGTCAAGGTTAGAAAGAGGTTCAGAGGTTCTAACGTCGTAATGCATGCAGTAGAGAAAATCATCCATATTGCTACAGAATAGTCGGCCTCTGGAGCCATGATAAAGTCTCGAAAACTTTTTCAGTCTCGACCATATAGCTTCAATATTGTTTATGTGCACTCCGGTTGTTGAGTGCACAAAATGCTAGTTGTGGATAACGACACGATGAACATAACCAAGCCTATGTAGGAGTCTGTACGCTCTCCAAACATCCGTATATATTGTAGTACCTGGCTGCAGCCAATGTTACTAATGCTTTTATTATCCAGTTCGCAATAATTGTCGTAATTTGCCTTAGTTAGAAATTATATATGGGGTTTTCATCACGAAATGACATCAGCTATAATTCCAGAAATTAATTTAGTCAAATGGATGAAAGGCTTTTGCGTTAAAATCCCAGATCTATTATCTTATACCTGATTGGTTCGTCCACAAGTTATAGTCTCACTGTTTTACTGGTAGGACTCTAATTTATGGACGAGCCAATCAGAAGCGTTTAGAGAGTTTCAAGGTCACGACGCTAAGTTCAATGCGAGATGCTCGCATTCGATCGTTTTACAGCAGATTTTAGAGAAGAGGTGATTGTTGAGAAACTACAGCAGATGGGACTATTAAGAGTTCCTGTATCTGTGACTGTGGCAATCAAATGACCGCAGCACGATGTGCAGACTACCGTGATGACATTGTATTTCGTTGTACTATATTTTGGAGAAAAAATCTGCCCGAACTGGCACTTTTTTACCCGGTCACGGTTAAGGCTAAGACAAATCATGATAATCGTTGCAAATTGGATCATAAAGTCTCCAGTAACATTAGCTGCGGCTTTTGCAGATGTTACGGAAACTTCCGCCGTTCAGTGGTGTGAATATTGTCGTGATATATGCGCCATGAAAATGACACGAGTACATGAATCATTTGGAGGAGTTGGAAAGATAGTGGAAATAGATGAGGCGGTAGTTATTGAAGGCATGTGGTCTAGACTGAAGCATCTTTTAAGACCCTACCACGGCTCCAGAGGACGATTATTATGGAACCATATGGACGAGTTCTTATACCGCATGCACTATAATTTAAAACTTCTGAACCTTTATCAAACCTCAACAAGTTCTTAAATCATGTAAAAGAAGATATCTATTGTAATTCATCATTTTTTATAATATATTTTTGCTTTATACTAGCTTTTTTCTGATTGGCTTATGTTCTCAAGGTCACTTAAAATACGTTCAAAGGTCGTCCATAAATAGAGTTTCACCGTTTTACTTGTTATATTCGCTCAATTACCACGTTTTGTAGAAAATTCCCTGTGAACCGATCGTAAGTTAGCATTAAGCACTGAAGTTGGCGCTGTAACCTAGAAATCTCTAAACCGACTTTGATTGGCTCGTCCATAAATTAGTCTCGCCACTAACACTTCACAACTATGCATCTAATAAAATAGGACTGTGTAGCAAAATCTTGAACGATTACTGTGAATGTCTTGAAGCCATTTAACAAACCAAAAACTGAAATAAGCGTTATTTTGCGCTGAAAAAATGTTTTCCCGAGCCTGTAGTAAGATAAAGTAAGTGAGAGTACATTTCATATGGAGACAGAAGCATTAAAATACTTACAGCGCACGAGCCATAAACAATATACTCGTCCTCTGGGTAGTCATAGCCTTCACAGTTAACGTTCACGGCCCCAAAGGAAACACTCTTATCTAGTTCAGCTTTGCATTCCCATTGGACATCACGACCGTCGAATCCGCGATTATAACACTGGACAACCTTGGGGTAATACTGGGGATGTTTAAAACCACTCCCACCAATACATTTAAGCTGAAAAATATCCATGAACCACTATAGCTTACCTGGGGTAATCTATAACCTTTTCTTGATTGGGCAAATTTATCATGATATAAAGTTATGACGTCTACATCTCGAAGCAATATGCGATTTGATTTGGCTAAACCAGTTAGAACTGGACGAACTTTGTAATCATACCTTCACAGAAACAAAAGCACAGAGAAAGAAAAATTAGGCAGAACAACATCGTGGAAACTGAAAATGACGTGTAACAACTTTTGCGCGTAACTTGTCCTTGGAGTTTTTTGGACTTTAAGGTCATCATTCGAAATCAAATTGATAAGTTAACTAATTGACATGATTTCACGTCCTTCCTGAATCTAGCAACATCCCTTTTACGCTAAACAGGCCTTACATTTGATTGTAGACACTAGATGTTTGACGAACCATCTGATAGGTTTGTAGTGTCAGTTATTATGCCAGGCCCATATACCTTATTTTAGCTTTCGGACATTCCATTCTATTCATTCTACTTGAGTCATATTTTGACCTTGTCAATTCGCTTGTCAGTCTTGACTGTTTTTATATGAGCGTATATATGTGTGCCCTTCTTATTTCATTATTCACATGTCTGTATCTTTATTTTGTCTGACTATAAATATTGAGTAACGTTTGACTAAAATGGAGTTGGCTTCCCAGCCATCTTCCATACTCATCATTTTTGCTTTGTTATGGCTCTCGCTCGCTTTGCATGCAAACGGGCCACCACAGTGGTAAGCCCGCCGACGACGAACCTAACGCAGCAAGCTACGTAGATGAAGAGATTTCTGCACTTGATACATTCGACGAACACACTCAACGGGTCCAGCTCAATCTCTAATCCGACGCACTCAGCGAAGCCTGTGCAGCACGACATGGACATGCGCAAATCTTATTATTACTTTGTCCTCATGTCAACTATTCTCATTGATCCATTCGTCGGTTTGTTCAATTACGATTCAAATTATCATTATATGCTTATTATTAAATTATTATCAATATCATGACCGAATGTGGAATTATTAATCTTGTTCGTGCTGTCATTAAATTACGACATTTTCGCAATCATATCACTCACCGAACAAATTATCATTTTATGAAAATTCCACTCCACTTTGTGAGAACTCATTGGGATATTTTTACTATTCAAAAACGTGAAATCTTCCTGCTTTAAGTGAGTTCGTTCCAATTTTTCATGTCATTTTGATCTAATATTGCATTCATTCACTTAGTCGAGGTCATTATTCTATGTTATCACAACATACATTTTTCATTTCGAAATCGCCTCCTATTATGTCTGTGGATGCCTCTAACTAGCTGATTAATAACCATTACGTTCATCTTATCCATTCTTCCACGTGCATAACTGTATGCCGCATCATTTATCAATAAAAACGCTATTCGAGTACTGCAACTACTATTCTATACCCATCGCACGGTATATCAGAACATAGAGTTTAGAGCTAGTCTCTCAAAGATACACTCTTGTTCGTCACATCCAAGTCAGTCTCATACGTCGCCATCGCTAATCATATGTATTGGTATTTTTGTCATGCCTTGGTACGGTTTTGTAACAAACGAGATCGAGCGCATCTCCCTCAAACCACACAAACCACTCTAGGCTTCATGACCAAAAAGGAATACGACTCTACGTACCTCGTCTACTCAGTCACTATTCTGTTCCTCTGGTCATTTTTCTACTAATACATATTTAACGATAACTCAATGCATCTGTCATAACGCAGACGACAACGTTCACTGACTTCAAATTTTATGATTATTATCAATTGCAGTACAGCAACGAATATCACCCGTCGATGCACATATCATTTCACGACTTTCCTATTATCATCCTACGAACGGGAACTACGCATTTAAATTCGAATTCACTCATCACTAGTCGATGCTATTTATTCTGCTGCGGCTCAACAGAACATATATTTCGCATATTTCACTATTTTGTCAGCACCACAGACCAATTTCTGTCATATTCTACTGTACTCATTTTGACGATTTATTTCCCTGTCCTACCCACAAACAATTTATTACTATTTTCACGATATTTTGAATCGCTCATACAAACGTGTTATTTTATCGTTCAGACAGTCATAGCATTACTACATGTTAATATTTTGTACGCTCATTAATTTGCTCATATTTGCATGCTAACGTTTCCATTTTTGTCCGCGCCTTTTCCATATTCATGTATTCTTTTGCATAAGTATGACATTTTCATATAATACACTCACCCCTCATGTGACACTGTACTTTATCGAGTGTTGTACAATTTTTTGGCTACTTATTGTTAACGTTAACTTCATATCACTTCAGTGTTATTTTCGAAAACAGACATTTTTTAAATGTGCTATTTTCTACGAGGGGGCTATGTAGTGTCAGTTATTATGCCAGGCCCATATACCTTATTTTAGCTTTCGGACATTCCATTCTATTCATTCTACTTGAGTCATATTTTGACCTTGTCAATTATTCGCTTGTCAGTCTTGACTGTTTTTATATGAGCGTATATATGTGTGCCCTTCTTATTTCATTAATCACATGTCTGTATCTTTATTTTGTCTGACTATAAATATTGAGTAACGTTTGACTAAAATGGAGTTGGCTTCCCAGCCATCTTCCATACTCATCATTTTTGCTTTGTTATGGCTCTCGCTCGCTTTGCATGCAAACGGGTCAACCACAGGTTCTACATTCTCCCAAATGCAAATCAGGAAGGGTGTGTTCAAGCCTTCTAATATGATCATTTGGTCAAGTTATAACTATGAGAAGGAACAGATTTTACTTAAAAGTACGATACACTGCTCCGACTTGAATTAAATGTTCCCAAAAACTACCATTCTGCCACATATGCAACATTCTGCATCAAGACCTCTTCGGTTTCACAATCTATCATAAAAATGGCTTGCTAAATTAATAAATTCACTTAGAATTAACTTCCAAACTTAACAGATATTTAGGCAATTGACAGAAGATTTATTGGTCGTCGCCGGAACCCGGTGAAAACATCTACTAAGTTGTTGACTAAATCAGGCCCAGAATAAAGATTCTTGTTTAAAGGCGTCTCAGCATACTGAGCTGCACAATCGAACACTATTCATAACGTGTTAGGCTTCTTGGGATGGAAGACAGCGTGACGAGGAAGATACGAAATTCGTTCATCAAAGTTGATGTTGTTTACTTTTTCGTCATAATCCCGTTTTATATGCCGAGTCATGGCGTTCATATTGTCTTGGAGCAACTTCGTAGCCCGAATAAGTCGACATTTCAAACAGCTGAGTCTACGCTCTGTTAATTTCTTATTATATGGTAACTTGTGTTAGTGCCTCCAAGGCAGAGCTATTTGATAGTGCCGATTTAACCTTTGCACTGAATTTGATAAAGAGCTGAATGCTATACGATCTTCCACAGACATCGATGGAGTACGACTAAATGGGTCTTTGAATTCAGTTGAATACAATTGTTCAAACTTATCCTCTAGTAAACAATATTGGCTCACCGAGAAATCTATGGCGTAAAGCCATTGTCGAACAGGTAAGCTATGACCCTGATGGACGAGTTCGTACAGCAAAGTTGAGAACAGCGAACGAAGGAATCGTTCGGGATGTACGGAAACTATACTTTTGAAAGCCGGTTATCTGACGGTTAAGACTACCTAGAACGATAAACGTGGTGTGTTTCGGGGGCAGTGTAAAGTGTGATCGATAAACGAACCCATTAATGATAAGTGAAACTGCCACCATCACATTAACTTCCTTTGACACTGTATGACTGTGTCTTGTTTATTCCCCAATCACAATTTTATGTCCACTATAAAACAATATTCGCCTTGTTGACCCATTTTTCCTAGCCTCTAGTTACCGTACGGTGTGTTACTTATGTCTCTGTTTTCCCCTGTGTTAACAGACTGTACTGTTTGTTTTGTATACTAACGGTGTTAATTTATGTTCCAGAAACAGATAAAGTTTATCAAGCCATATAGCTTACTTGTTCTGACTATGGCTAAACCAAGACTCCGTGTTCGACAGTCTACAGAATAACTTAGAGTTACACCTGTAGGCAAATTACTTCCTACACATCTTTTAAATTTTTTAAATTTTCATGCACCGCATCAACCTACACATTAACCAGGCTTACACATACGTTGTAATATATCTTCTCTGTCATTCGAATTATTAATTAGTAGAACCGTCTTTAAAAATTTTCACTAAACCCATCGACGTCATTGCTGTGAGTATTTAGGTTTATGAATTGATTTGTCGTATTAATTGACAGATTTGGGTACCATCACACTGCACTAGTAGGATAACTAAACTATAAGGTAGTTCTCGGTCAAACCAATTTCAAACCAAAACTCCGGAGCCTACTATTAAAATTAAGACTATGTAGAAGAATATTTTTGAATTGCAATTTGTAATGTAATCAGGCAGCCTAGATTCGTTCGCAGTGGGATTAGGGCCTAACTATACAATCCTTAGAGCTGAATACGAGACAATATGGGAAATAGATACCCAACATTTAACACGGAGAAAATCGAAACGATGAAGGCAGGAAGAATGAATTAAATTAATTCAAATTGATCGGACGGCATGGCTCGGCCTTGCAGTCGTGGTCGATCTGTACAACTCGCTTCTACTCATATTAAATATATTGTTCTATCTCTAGCCCAGCCTGAATTTGTTTTCCGTCATGTATTGGTAATTGTTACGATGCAATGAGTCAGTGCAGACAATGATGTGACTTCCACGTAAGACCTTATGGATTATGCAGCTACAGTTCGCTTTGACGAACAAGTTACGACCAAAAGTCCTTAAATTGTTGACAATAATCACAAATATTTTACTCCCCATTCTTGTGCACTTGCCGTTGCTTGCTCCAACCACGATATATGTGTACACTGGTCAGTGGTAGGCAACGTAAACATACCAAACAAAGTGGATGAATTTGAGCCAGGACATTAACGAACAAACAAAAATTCTAACACCGCCTCACCCTCATTTACCCTCGCGAAAAACTAACGTTTCGACCTACTCACATAATTTAGGAGGCTGGGGTAACATTTAATATAGCTACCATCTAATACGAATAAAATCTGCATACTAAGAGGGTTTCCGTAATCTCGACGACTATTTCGTCATTTCTTCGATGTTTACTAAAGGCCCAAGGTATGGGGAAATGCGTTCCTAGACGTGG